CCTAGGCAGGGGGTTGGACTAGAAGACTTCCAAGGTCCCTTCCAACTCTGCTATTGTATTTTATTAAGCAGTTTTGGCCCCATATCTTGGCCTGAAACCTAACTGAAAATTATCCATTTCCTCTGGAATCTTCTGGACTTTTCCAATTCTCATACATATTTTAAAAATATAATTGAAGCTATATGTAAGCTAAAGAAGTTAATCTAAAGGTTTAAGATGACTATGACAAAATATGAATGTACATTGATTTTATCTGATAATATAAATGAATAGATAAAGGGTTTCTATTTCAAGAAGATGTGGCATACATGCAGATAGTGAAGGGGGTAAAACAACTATTAAAAACTAATAGGGTTTTAGGGAACCTTAATATGCATATTAGTAACCTCTTTCTTGTATGATGAACTAACTAGTTATGTCCCCGCCCTATGTACACTCCCCTTGAAGAAGAGAATGCACATCCATTCTACCCAGTGTTCAAACCCACTTCTGCTAAGAGCCAGAAAAAATATTTTAGTATAATCTTACAGGTACCTGTTTCAGTTGGAATTGATTCTGAAATGGTTAAGCTGATTTGCTGTTGATTAGAACAATAATGAATGAGGATACAGAGGTCTAAAAAGAAGCGGAAAATTTCATGAACAAAGGAAAATAATTACTTGCTGCTTTTCTTATTAAGAGTATAAAGTGATATGACAAGTTTTCTGCATTTTCAAACAGCTGCCACCAACTCTGCATTGCAATTTGAACAGAAGAATTGTCGAGAGATTCAAGAAATCTTTATTCAGTCAGCAGAGTAATCCATGTAATTTGAAGTCTGAGATTAAGAAGGTATAGTATTCAAAAGCACATTTCTATAATTTTGGAATTTTTTCCCTATTGAGATGTGGCCCATATATTCAGAGGAACTGAAGCATTTTCAAAATTTATGATACTCAGCATTTAAAATTCTTCATTTTATTCATAATAAGTGGATACTTAAATTATTATTTTAAGAATGACTGAACTTTAATTTATATGTAGCCATTTGTAACAAAGATTTAATATGATGCTTAAACAGGACTTAATTACTATTTCATGAGATAAACCATGTTAAAGTTTGGAGTCTGCTTCTAATTCCTTATCTTTCCATATTCAGCAAAAAATTCAGTAAGAACTTATCAGAAATAAGTACTACATAATAAACTATAACACCCACTTTTATTCCTTCCTTTTATATTTACATCTCCTTTTCTATTTAAACAAATTTCCTCTCAAATAATCAAAGTCCAATCCCAGTAAAAAAACAAAAACATTTAAGCATTACCAAAAATGCTTGAGCCAAGGTGGCGCAGTGGTTAAATGCAGCACTGCAGGCTACTNAACTAAAAACATCACTCAGTCCAAGGGCAGATAGGCTGTGTTAACCCAGCATTGGACTCTCCTCGCAGTGCCCCGAGAACGACCGTTCAGGTAAGGCAACGGTCTTTCAGGGCAATATTCTGACATTGTAAACTGCTCAGAGAGTGCTGTAAAGCAAATGTAGAGCAGTATGTAAGTCTAAGTGCTATTGCTATGTGGGAAAATAAACTGTGTTCTATTTCTAGCTTCTCCTTATCAGCATACTTGCCTTTGGGATTTATATGGCTATATGAATAGCCAGCAGGAAGCCAGGTTGTCAGAATAATCCTGAAGGATTCTTTGAATAGTTAGAAATTTAAGCAATTGTGCACAGTTTTCAATGGTTCATAATTCTTGAAAACTGCTGGAATTTTCCATCCTTATCAAGCCATTTGGAATACCTAGGCATGTAGAAAACACTATAACTTTTAGATACACGTCTACCTAATTTAGTATTAGTAAGTGCTAAAGTGAAATATAAATATTCTTCCTTGTGGGCTACTACAATTTCCTTTCACCAACAGGAGTAGCAAAATAAATTTTCTTTTTTCCCTGTACGTGCAGTCTAAATTTGTTCTGGAAGATTAAAGAATCTTTTAAAGTTGATATCAGTGGATATCAGGGGAATCCGAAGAGTTCACCAATCTTTATCAGGAGCCTTATAAATCTGTTAGAGCTCTTAGTTTCACTGGATCCTCCTCCCATTGGCCCTTCCATCCTGCTCTTCAAAACTATTCAAACTGTGCTAGATTTGATTTGACAATTGTACATTCCTTTATATTCCCATATATTCTTTTTTACATTCCAAATATTTCAGGGAAAAATATATTTCCAACCTCACTATATGTATTTCTTTATAACTAATATACTTTTCTCCATAATCATAATTGTGCATTTTTCTTATTTTTTTTTCTTATCTCCACATTTCTTGTTTATCCAAGGAGCTCACTTATTTTTGATTGATCAGTTTGGTGCAGAGTATTTCTTTATGTGAATGCTACTTTTTATTTTCTGAGTTACAATAGTAACTCATGAAAAGAGCAGTTTTCTCCACATGAGTAGTATCCTTCAGATGAATGCACTACAAATTTATAAATTCTTGGATCTTGGAAATTGCAGCCTAACTTTGCTCACATTGCCAGGAGTTTGATTCCCTCAATCCTGATTGGCTCAAGGTTGACTTAACCTTCCATCCTTGCAAAGTTGGTAAAATGAGGACCCAGATTGTTGGGAGAAATATGCTGACTCTGTAAACTGCTTAGAAAGGGCTGTAAAGCAGTTTGAAGTGCTAATACTAATATTTGAAAGCCCCTTTTTTCAAATTGATAGGCAGTCAACTGACTTTACTATTGAAGATTCTGTAATTGTGTATGTGTGTGTGAAGTGTATATATTAATTACAGAAATAAAATATTAACAGTACATAAATAAAATGTGATGAATGACAGAGCTAGAGAAAACAAAGGCATAGGAAAGCTACACATTTGGTTATAAACACCATTTGTATCTTTACATCAAAATGGGAATATTTCTCAATTTCAAACCAAATTACAAAGAAAAAAATATTTATTTAAAATGTATATTTGCTAGATTTTCACGCTTTTTCATCCTAAACATGTGTATATTAAACAAAGCCTAGCCAGGGGGCAGCACCTAGCCAGTCTTAGCTATATTGAAAAGCTAAACAGAATCAGAGCTACTTAGTAGTTGAATGGGAGTTGCCAGGAAATCCCAGGGTTGTAGATTAGATTTTTTTTTAAGACAGGAAGTCTATAAAGTATAGGTAAAGGTAAAGGTTCCCCTCGCACGTATGTGCTAGTTGTTCCCAACTCTAGAGGGCGGTGCTCATCCCTGTTTCAAAGATGAAGAGCCAGAGCGTCCGAACACGTCTCCGTGGTCATGTGGCCGGCATGACTAAATACCGAAGGTGTATGGAATGCTGTTACCTTCCCACCAAAGTGCTCCCTATTTTTTCTACTTACATTTTTTACGTGCTTTCGAACTGCTAGGTTGGCAGAAGCTGGGACAAGTACTGGGACCTCATTTGGTTGCTAGGGATTCAAACCGCTGAACTGTTGACCTGCTTATCAACAACCGCAGCATCTGAGCCACTGAGTCTCCATCTATAAAGTATACACACCCCCAAAATACTTTTAAAAAAAAAAGACAGTAGCAAACTACTTGATAGTGTTGCTAAGAAAATTATATCAGCATATCTATGATGATATCAGGAATTGAACTTTTTCCAAAGGGGCTTTTTTATACAAGTTTATAAACCACAACGAGTATGTGAAGAAATTATATATACAGTTTTCTTACATATCTTTTTTAATTCTTCACAAAGGTACAAATTTAAAAAAGAGAAATCAGAATAATTTGAAATTGATATATACATTCATTGCTGGTATATTCTGCCATGTCTCTTCTATAATCCTTTTTATTCTGGCATACCTGGTATTTCTTGGAATAAGCTTGAATCTGAGAATCTTGTTCTTTGATTAGTGAAACTTCACAAGTGAAAAATAAAAGGAGGATTTGCTCAAATAAACCGTTCAAGCGGTGCATTAAATTTATGAAAATATGCAAAGAAGTTCTTGTATGATATATTGTTGATTTTTAAAATATTATTTTTCCGAAGCACTCAAATTTTTCCAGTTGTTGCTATTTCCAACAATAGATTTAACCATCCAGAATGCAGAATTGTAACCTTTTCCTATAATCTCTGCACTACTGCTATAATAAAGATTGTGTGTTATTCATCATCCTGACTTTTTTTCCTCACAAATAGAAACAAAAACCATATTGGGTGCTCAGTTTTGCATTTGGTCTTCAGGGTAATGTCTGATGCAAACTTCCACTGAACGATTTTGGACTTTGGTAGATGTTTTTCCTACCTTTAGATTAGGAAAACATCTGCCAACTTTGTAGATGGATATGATTGAACAGAAGTGCATCAATATAAGCTTCAAGGGGGAAATGTTGGAAATCTTCTGCAGCCTAATAGATTCTATCATATATTTAAGTGAAGGGAAATCAACCAGTTTTTTCCCCCCAGTATAGGCAGATTTCTTTAGAGAGTTCTGAAAGATTGCTGACCAAGTACTAGAGTTCTTCAAATACTCCCTCACATCCTTTTCTATAGGTGCTCTGATAAGCATAGCAATCAGTTCTGTACATTTTCTGGCAAGCTAAGCTGGTGTGCCTAAGAGAAGAATTCTCATCATTCCTGGACATAGCATCCTTTCTCCATTCTGTCTCCATGGCAACAAGTTTCATTCAGACCTGAGAGAAATTATGCAAGCTTTTTTTTTAAAAAAAACAATTATGTAAACCTCTTACCTTATTTCCACTCATCTAAATCTAAACAAAGAAGGAATTAAAATCTAGTCACTGAGACAACTTTACTCAATTTCATTCAGAGGGAAGCAATCCTCCTGAACCCCTTATTGTCCCTATATGAAGAAGGAAATTCTTTTTTACCACTACATTATGCCTTTGTATGTTATATGTTCAGTGTTTGATAAATACCTTGAACAATTGTTAAAGGAGGCAGCTTGTAACCCAAAATACAGCAACATAAATTATATATAATCAAACCCCCTTATTCTTACTATAAATGAAACCAATTAGCATAACTATGAAGCAGTTATTTCCTGTATTATATTATCTTAAGTTAAACACTAACATTGAAAACAAACACACTAGAACTGGGTTTTAGCATAAATAAGCTTCAGTTTTCAACTTTGAGATCAAGTTTGACTTCAAATGGTAATTTTTATATTGAAGGTGCTTCAAGTCTTAGATTCCTAGGACATTATAAACACAATAGAAAAGAATACATGTAGCTCAAAATTGAACTGTGGAGCCCCTGGTTCTATGACTTTGGATGTTTGCGTGTAGATATTTCATTGCTTGATTAGGTAACTTGATATTACCTAGTAAGGTAATGAAACATTTGCAAGCAACCAATGAAACTTAGAGAGCACCAAGAACTCCACATTATAAACGCATTTAAAAGCTCTTTTTCCGCACATCATATAAAGATGTTTTGAATCAGTTTACTGAGGAATAGTTGCTCTCTCTTTGTGTAGGCACAATAGAAAAGAGGGATAGATTCTTTTAAAAAAACATGCACTGAAACACAAAACCACTATTATAAATACTTTATTTATTTTTTATATTTCTAAATCATTCATCTCCTCAAAGAGGAACTTTGGGAGGTATACAGTAAAACATTGAAATATAAAACAGCATATACAAATTTAAATATTAAAGTTAAATTTTTTTAAAGATTATCATTACATTTATGCACCAAACATTTCAAGATGATCTGAAATACATCTACAGTAAATGGGAGGATGCAGAGACTAGCTGTGGAGTGAAAATTGTGGAATACACTTGTAGCCCAATGTGATCAGCATGGATAATGACATTTTAAGAAGGCAAGAATAA